AATGGGGCGTGAACTCGACAAAAGATACCCGGCTTCTTGGTTATGTCTCTTTTTCCTTTCTGATTAGCGTAGTTGCGATTTGTACCCGTAAAGAATGCTGACTTGGGTGTGACATTTGGCTCTATATCATCACCGTTTACCGACTGACCCGCTTCCTTAATCGTAATCTCATGTTGTATAGCTTGCCGTAATGTCTGCAAGTTCCAGCAGCGGCTCTGTAGGCACGTACCATGTTTTCTCGCATGTTCCCGGGTAGTTTATTTAATATTATGGGCACTAAAAGGCTTCCGAACGACTCGTGGGACTCCCCTATACCTTCAAGGCCAAGGATTTAGTTCTCCATGCTGTCGTAGAATTTTTTCAAATGTGTAATATTTGACGTTGGACTAGGAAGGCTGATTAAACTCTGCATGTATGTATGTACTATATTGTGTGGTTGACCGAATCTTTGTTTTACGTGTTTGTCCCTAATTTCTGTTAGTTATTTGTAGACCTGCTATGCACTGAATGGCTTCTCCGAACAGTTGAGATTTTAAGTAATTAAATTTCTGCACGTCGTTTAAAGACAGGTTTTCGTGTACCGCAGCACTAAACAAATCCCAAAGGGTTGCCAGTCCAACGTATACCCGCCGAACGTTGGTAAATTTAATTTGGGAAGTTTCTGGTACATGCTGGAGTTTGCAAAAAAAAAAGAACTCTGATGTATTTGCGTGCATGAAACTGGGTTGTGGCTGACTTTCTTGATTATTCGTATTCATAACTTCGTGTGCATTTGGGTTAAGCAATGACTTACTTGACTGTTTGCCTGTGATTTCCGATTCCTTGATAATTTTTGAAAGTTTGGTTAATGTCATTTCTATATCATACGTGTATCTGTCGGCCTCCTCTATTTTTTTCGTTCACTTCTTCTTCTGATAGTTCCTTAACAATCTTCTCGTTTAGTTGATCGATCGTTTCCTGCTTCTGACAAATAAGTCCCCGAATGGTAGAAAGTTCGCTCACGTCATATTCCTGCAAAAGTTGCTCCGAACTCGGTTCCACTTTCTTCAGCAACTTTGTTAGTACTCCCCGATGTCCAGCTCGTCTGGTCTTCATCTTCGTTGTCGCGGTACTCATCTTCCGTATTCTTCCGTTTTGTCACGGTACCAATGTTTGGAACGTGCATGTAGATATCAAAAGCGAGTGATGGATATAAACGCAAGAACGTCTTCAAAGTTTCGTATGCTTTACTTGGAGTCAATGCTATACACAAAGACGTCGGCAAGTGACAACGTTGCGGGCCTATTGTTACGTAAAATGGCGCTAAAACGTTAACTAAATATAAGAGTATAAAATAGACTGAACTGAAACTAAAACTAATTCACAACAAAGACCTTCAAAGGTTGGGACGAAAAAGAATTGAGCATCACAGTGAAGGAAAAAGAAAGCGCTTTTATCGAAAAGGCAACAGAAAAACTTCATGATATGTTAAGACCCTCGTACAGTCGCCATCTGTTTTATATAAGAAACCAGTTTAAACATTATAAAACTCTCAAAGAGACTTTGAGTCAAACTGAATGTCTGATTCATGTAGACTTTTCAGAGAACTACTTTTGCAAGATGTCAAAGGAAATTCAGTCGATACATTTTTGAGCATCATTACCACAAATCTCTCTTCAAACTGGTTACTATGTTACAAGAGATATGGATAATATCCGCTCATTTTGTGGAGTCGCGGATTTCCTTAGACATGACCCTCCAAGTATTTGGGCACACATGCTACCTTTTTTGAAGGAAATCAAAGATATGTATCCATTTGTTGATTACTTACATTTTTACAGCGATGGACCAACAAATCAGTACAGAAAGAAAAACATTTTCAACCATGTCATTTGAGCTTGGCTTTGCTGGTGCTTGCTGGAACTTCCACAAATCAGGATATGGGAAGTGAATTCCTGATGGCATTGGGGGATCTATAAAACGATCCAGCAGATCGACAAGTTAGATTTTGAGCAGAGATATTGACAGCAGGACTATTGAAACTGGCACTAAAATCCAGTTTTACGAAGTTAAAGAGGCTAAAGTTTTAGAAGTAGAAAAAAATAATTTCTACACCACTGAAAAATATTCCAGAAACAATGAAAATTCACCAAATCTTTACCGATTCAGAGAGAAAGGTCACATAAAGAGGCACTGATATTCATTGCCCTGACCATCTTTGTGATTTGTTTTAATTTTCTGCATGTGGAGGAACAGTTCAAATAAAATTGCCTGATAAATCTGAACGATTGATATCTATATCAACACCTTATGAAGATTTAAATCTTGAAGTTAAGAATTCGTATACAAGAGATATTTTACAGAGGAAAATGGAAAAAGATTAAAAAAAGAATTCAAGTTTTTTGGCAAACATTACAACAATGTGGATCTTTCGAACATTTGCAAATTACTTGTTTGGAATCTATTAGAGAAACTTTAAATGGAAAAGATCGGTTTATTCAATTAGATAACTTTGTTATTGACAATAGATCCATGGATCTATTCCCAGATGATGTCCGCACCGACAAAACTCTATTTCCAGTCCAGGTAAGAGCTGATGGAAACTGCCTTCATTCGGATATCATGTGGAAGCGTATTTGTTTTTTGAAACGATTCTTATGCAGATGAAATCTGATGATATAATATAAAAGAGCTAGCTCTAAGTAAAAAGTTTTATCTAGATAAAAATTACTTGTCAAAGGCTTTTGAGCCCAATGACCAGAATAAAAACATTTTGAAAAGTTTTGCAATGTATTCGGATGAATACACCCATGGCGTTGTATTGATGTAAAGATCAATTGAAGATATTTATGAGAGAAAAATAATGCAGATAAGAAATTCCCAAACACAACATGGGCATATGGCAAATTTTTGCGCTGGCAAAAATGTTATCAGAAGGCCAATAGTGTGGGTGTATCCCAAAAAAGGGAATCCTAATGTACGGAACGATCGCCATCGGAGAATAGAGCTAATGGCAAAACCGTTGTACATAATGTGGACATCAACTCGCATCGATATGAACAACGCCTTTTGCGTTCCAAACCACTGTGTGTTCTTATTGGAAATAAACGAGTCTTCTTTAAATAAATAACAACAACTGAGAACGTAATATAGGTCTTGAAATCATCCCTGAAGCTGAACATTGTCTTCACAAGTACGTCGTTGTAGACTATGAGTGCACAACATATTCAGGATATGTGGAAGATGTAGACTCCTCAGATGTATATGTAGTGTGCATGCAATGAAGAATATCTTTTATTGGCCAAAAGCAGTGACAGACAAATGCTGGTACAACCACTCCAGAATATTTACTATCATTCCGAAGCCAAAGAAAATCAAAGGCTCTTCGTGTAATTATGAAGTGGATCCGGTATTTGGTCAAAAACCATGGCAAGACTACAGTGTTAAACAGTGTCAAAAACTAGATATATCAGATTTTTGACAATCGAAAATGTTTTATTTGTCTTTTTGTTCAGGTGTATTGTTGTGTTCTTTTAAAATGTTTCACATTAGAGTCCTACAACTCGGTCAGATGGATGGTCGGATGGGTTACTGGCAAGCCTCTAGTTGCAACTTAAATGAATATCCAGGACGAGAATATGATAACGAGATAAATACCAATATACATGTAACCTTATCTGTACCAATTTTTATGACTTATGCCAACCAGGCATTGCTCATACTTCAGGGATAACGTAGAAACAGCAATCACAATTTTCTTCTGTTTTTTTTTTTGTTGGACTCGGACGGGGATGATACATGTATGAATAGTTCATTTACAATGTAACAATACTTATATGTCTGGTTTTGTATCCCTAGGAAATCCCCAAAAGTTTTTTTTATTGATTTGGTTGATCAAAAGATTTGTTTGTCTCTACTGTTACTTCCTTGTCTTTCCTGTTACTGCCATTGTTCGTTCCTGTTACCCCAAAACATGTGTAGAATAATTTTGACAATGAACATAAGAGATCTTTTGGCAAGGTTCCATTCAATATCATTGAAAAAGGACATAGTAGTAGATTTTCGCTGCCACTGTCTCCCCAATTTTTTTTACGAGCGTTTAAAAAAAAGAAATATATTCAATTTGATTTTTCTGAACGTACAGACTATCTGCAGATTTTTATTTTGGTAGAAATCTACATAAATGATTAACGTTAATGTGATATCAAATGTACACTGTTATATAATTGTGATCTATACTTTTGATTAGATATTTTCTTTTTTCTTATAACGTTTGCTGGCATTTAAAAAAAAAAGTAACAGGATGGATAAAATCAAATACCAGCTGGCACAACATTTCAAATAAAACATTTTCAGGTGTCGATAAGATTGCATATTTTGGAAAAATGTTTGAGAAGCAATGTGTTATTAGTTCTTTGAAACAATTTGAATTCAAATCAACTTCTTTTTTTAAGTTCCGATTCAAAGTTGTACTTTATTTTGAAATGACTGATATATAAATTTTCTGAAATGTTCTTTGTTATAAATTTATCTAGAATAAACGGATGCTTCTATGAGATGTAGGAGATTTGAACATGGGTTAAATCTTTTAAAAATTGATCTAAAATAAACAGGGGTTACTTTAAGATTAAGAAGATTTGAACTGCGATTTAAATCCTTGAATCTTTAAATTAAAGCATATCAACAACTAGATATTTGTTTGTTTTTCATTAATGTGCTATTGCATAACTCGCTTGTTATTCATCAGGTATTGAAATATTACATCCGGCGATACGACGAGGCAAGTACGGATTTATCAAGGATAATTTAAAATACGTCTCGAAAAAAAAATTATCAACTATTGTAAAAATGTGAAGTTTTTTAATGCTGCTAACAAGAAATAATATAATAAAGCGTCACTCATAAGATGTTTTCAACAACAATCTTTTGCATGACTGAAAAAAGTTTTACACGTTGTGAAAATGCAATATGAAATTAAGTAACGGACAGTCTAAATCAATGAAACAATTTTATAATGGTACCTGACACAGATAGTGTGGCTTCTCTATAGCTGTCAGTGCTTTCAACAATTTCTCAAATGTTGCCATCACTTGGCTGCTTTCTGATGTATCCCTCCAATCAAAGAGTCCCATCAGCATAAAATCCATTGGGTTTGAGAAATAACGAAAATTTAAGTTGTCGTAATTTGATTGTGCCATGCCTAGCTGAATGAAGAAGTCGTGGAAATCGACAATCCCTATTATTCTTGCTAGCTGTACAAAATGCTGATCATTCGGCTTCAGTAGAAGAGTTTCTTTTTTAAGCCCTTGAAGAATTAAATAGATAATTACGTTTTCTTAAGGGGGTACCCGACACTTTGACGAAAATAGATTTTGCTCGTTTAATTCTCCAAAAAAAAAAAAATGACATGTTGACAAAATTATGAACTCACTGAAATTTGAAGCACACAACTTACAGGATATATAGCAGTTTGATCATTGAGAACCTTGATTTCTCTTTACCAATAGTATGTGATAAAAACATCCAGATGATTTTAAAGAGTAAACTCCCTTAGTTGTTCTGTACCCCCTTAAATAGGGATAAGAACTTCGGCAACATATTTTGTCGTGCATAGCTTTATATATGTTAGATTGTTTGATAGTTGTTGAATTCCATGCGGTGACTTTTTTACGTTTAAATCAACATCTGCGTCATTTCGTCTTTAATGGACAGTTGTCTTATTGGCAAACATGCAATTTCTCTTTAATGTTATATGTCACGTATGTACACAAAAAGTGTAACACCCTTGAAGATTTCAATTTATTGATATGTTAAACGTTACAATTATTTTTGTATGATCATTCCCTGCAGGCACACTTTGTTGAATCAACGTTGAACCTTTGTTGATTTTAGGTTATACGTTGATCAACAAATATTCAACATTGATTCAACCTTGACAATTCAACGTTGAAATTAGTACATTGTTTCAACGTTGAATTAACATTGTGTTAAAATACCAACATTGAATCAACGTTGGCTAAACAATACTGATATAAAACCCAGTAGTGGATACCAGAATTGTCAAAAAAGAAGTATTGGGCACATCACAATTCTTTTTAAATTGACAACGATATTCACATAAAATAGAATATTCAGTAGATTTATCCCTCATTGTCGTGGTGATTACAGAATTATATATAAAACACTGAATCGCAGTGTATATATCAGCTTAAACTAATCATGAACTTTGCACCCCAAATAATAGAAATTCCCAAATTTCAACCCACCCTTATACATAATAATAGAACCAGCTTGCATACAGGATCATACAGTAAATATAAATATTTGTGAATAACCGGGGGCCCTTCCCCTATAAATATGCCCCCTTTTTCCTTGGCTGCTGATGTCAAATATCTTGTTAACATTCCTTTTTTTCTTTTCTTTTCTATTCTTTTTATCAATATAAAGAGAAAAACGTATACATCAATACAAACACAATGGTTGACAACTTGTAATATAAACTACCGATAGATCTATTGGAATAGTGATTTAAATTTTCGCGGCATTTTTAACGTTTCTATTTTAAGACAAATTCAGATATCCGCATGCGCAGTTGTTTCAGTTGCCAAAGTTTGAATATCCGCTTTACAGACTACAAGGTGGTTCTACAGAGTTTTTATCAGTATCTTTCCTGTATACAGCTTTTACATTTTGATCGTAAGTATATATAGGTTGTTGTGATTACAGTAAATACAGTATCGTATTTTAGAAATGTGAGCATATCATTTTGTTATGAAAACTGTACTGAAAAGTTGAAAATTTACGAGGAAAAGGGGGATGTGTAGTATGTTACCATTCCCAATTTACCTTGCAACGTCTCATGAATTTTTATCATTGCATTTGACTATTTGAATTCATCATATGATTGAATCAAAAGTAAAAAGAAATTTTATCGTTATTTATCTGTTCAATTCAGTTACACGAAATCTCAAAAAAAGGGGGGCTCGTTTACAAAATTGGGATGGAAAGGTCAGAAGCTTTATGGCTCACCAAGTTAAACCTTGAATATGTTACTGTCAAAATTGAAGTAGTGTTTTGACAAGGTATTCAAAGATGAAGAGTTATCTGCGTGCAACGTTTTTGGTCTTTTTATTTCAAGTGTTTTCGTGTTTTTACATTTTATTTCTCGTTTTCTTGTATTTGGTTCGACATGCAATATTTGTATTTCCATGTTTCGTGTTGGTACTCCCAATTTCTCGTGCTTGTCCCACATTTGATAAAAAAGTAAACCGGGACTTAATTCCAAGTCATTCTAGAGATTGTTTTAAATTATGTGTTCCCAGGATATTAATTGCTATTTAGTTATAAATATTTATTTTTCAAATTGGTTGCAACTAGCAGATGCGAAAAGGTGACCGCAGGGTCTTCGTGTCCATTATCATGACTGTGTTATCTCCAAGAACGACTGAGTAATAGCTTCTAGTACTTTTTTCCTTAATATTTATGATTTTATTTCTCGTGCTTCGTTTATCCCAATTTTTATTTTCCGTGCAGCGTTTTTGGGATTTATATTTGTTTACACGTGTTTCTGTGTTAAGAACCCCCTTTTACCACCCTCGTATATGTCAATTAGACAGATATGCATGCAGCAGCACAAGAAATACAGAAAAAGACATAAGTGGATAAACCTTCAATTTTTTTCAAATTAAAATGTAGTATTCAGGATTTTCTTGCAGATTATACCTTCTGGTCTATATAAAAGGAAATGTTGTTGAGACTTTGATGGAAGTTTAACTTTCATTTAGTTTTCACGAGTTCTTATGCTTTTGAATTATACTTTAAACATTGTTAAATATCATCATTATGAAGTTATTAATAGTTTAATGTCTTGAACAGAATTAAACTTGACAATGTTATAACTTTTGATTTTGTAGATGTCATCATGCAGACCTATGGAATCACGGAACAAGAAGTGTCTGACAAAACAACAAACTTTCTAAAATGGGCTACAAAAGACAGGGTGGGAGAAGAAAGAAGTTGAAGTTTTCACTATTAATAAAAAAAAATATTTTAATTATATCGTATTGAATATTTCTCTATCATCAGTGGTTGGACATTAAAATACATGTTTTATATTTTGATCACTCAGATATTTAAAATAGACATTGGGCAAAAAAACATGTGTATTAAGGGTTGTGTGCTTTCAAAAATTAGGATAGTTCAATATAGGAAATATTTTTTTTATTTTTCTTGCTGATTATTTTCAATATTTCTCTTGGATGATAATTTGTGTTTTTATACATGTTATATGCATATCGTTAAATTTTAAAAAAATCTCGGGGGTTAAATTATGGTTCGTAGGAAAGCCCTAAACACACATATTTGTTATTCAGTTGATTGGTTGTTGACATCATCATGGTCAAGCTATGCTCTCATCACAAGAATGTGGTCACTCAGTTAAATTGTTGAAAATTACTGATCTTCTACGACTAATTGATAGCCAATGGCATCTATTCAAAGTTGTGTGCACCCAACCACTTTTTGTTGTTATCTATTGTTAACAAGACAACTATCAACAAAAGAACATTATTTATATATATTTGGTTCAGCATACAGTCTTTAATAATGAGCAAAAGCCCACACCATTTCAAATATGACCAGACAATTATTTTATTTACAGATCATCAATTTTTTTCTGAGATTATTTTTTATACTTTAGTCTGATGGAGCAGTTATTGGATAAAGTTTCCTGGGGCAGAATGTTGCTATGGCATTTAGCATGTTGAGTGCCTTCAGAAGATACTTCCTTGAATATTAATAAATTGCTACAGTATAAAACTATGGAATGCAACACACAGAAAATACAGGATGAATGAAACTTAAGTTTTAGGTGGAAACACAGTTGAACACAACCACTAACCAATTTTGATTCCGTGTTGAATATGGTATTCACCCTGAATTCAATCTGAATTCAAATTAAGTTATTGGTTGAAACAATGTTGAAGCAACCATTATTCAATAGTGATTCAAAGTTGAACATCAACGTTGATTCAACGTAGGATTTCAACGTTGATACAAATTTGCAAAATCTAATAATAATTCAACATTGATTCAACATAGAAAAAACACATTGATTCAATGTTTAATCAATGTTGTGTGCCTGCTGGGTTCATACGTAGACATTGATACTTTTATCTTATTAACTACGATCTTCGAAATCACCAAGAATGAATATTTTACTTCTTTGAAGTTACATTTTAAATGATTTAGTTTTTTTATAGGTTTAGTTCAGAACAGATATATTTTTGATAATTTGATTCCTCAGTAGTAGTATTTAATTTTTTGGTCCAGTGCATCTTTCTTTACTGAAATGTTTTGACCTTTTGTAACATTTCATCGCATGACATTTAGCATGTGTTGTCTTTTATCCTAGTTGCTGATTTTGTTGCCCCTATTGTCGAGATGAAACGGTAAATTTATCAGAAAAACATTATGTTTTAACAAATAATATATATTCATATCTCCAGTTATTTGTATTTTTTGAAAAGCCTTTAATTCATTCCTATTGTGGTTCCTTCATGTTTTGCAAAGAGAACTGACAGACGAGTGAACAGATGATCTGTAATATTATTAAAAATAATCATAAAAATAAGCATAAATAAGGATAATCTTTACAAATAATATGTGCATTTATAAAAATTCGTACTCATAGAAGGGTACAAAACCAGAATGTGTACCCACTTTTCATTAATTACATCAATTGATGAGGGCAGTTAACTTGATAATATAAACAGACCACAAAAACAGCAGCTTTCTTTTTCAAGTATTGTCTTTTGACGTATACCTCTTTTCATTTGTGTTGTTGTTACTAACTAGTTTTGATATTTTTTATTCATTCTTCATTCATTTATACAATTACCTGTACAGTTTGGTTCACAATGCTCTTTATTCTAAAAATAGATATTTGATAAGTTTTAAATTTTTCTGCGTAATTTTATGAATGAATTTTGTGTAAAAGCTAATACATGAGACCAGGCTTTATATAATGTGATATTCGAGATGTCGTTTTGTCTGCACCAGACTCATATTTAAAATAGAAACATTATGAAAGTTTTTACAAATTCGGGAAAACAAGTAACCAACTGATTTTATGTTTTTATATAATATATATGTGTTTTGTCTTCGTTAGTCGTTGTCCTTTCCTCTTGACTAATAATCTCCCGAATCGGTATATTTTCCTCTTCTCCCGTCTGTTATTTAATATATTAGAAAAGAAGATTTTACGGAACTGTATTAACAAAGCATGATTCTTAGTGATTGAAGAATTTAGTAATCACGTGCTCTTTGTATTTTGTTGTTGCTGTTTTGGTTTGCAATCATATCATATGCATATCTCTTTTAATTTTGATCATAACAACTAATATATCTATATGGAGTTATTTTATTTCAGAACGATAGGTTTTGAAGAATCCACCCGACTATACCAAGTTTTAATGACATTTGCTTCTAGCATAAAATAATAAAAAATCAATATTTTTATTGTAACTTGATAATGATGTTTTAAGTTTTTACCAAGATCAATTAGTGAGTTTTTTTTAATCATATGATAAATGAACCGTAAGGTATATTAAAACACGAACGCAGAAGAAAAGAGTTTCCCACTTTATTGTGATCGGTAAAATAGGATGCAAATCCTGCAAATCTTTACAAAAAATAATATTTGTTGACGGTATAAAGTAAAATCACAAAAATACTGAACTCCGAGGAAAATTCAAAAAGGAAAGTCCCTAATCAAATGGCAAAATCAAAAGCTCAAACACATCAAACGAATGGATAACAACTGTCATATTCCTGACTTGGTACAGGCATTTTCTTTTGTAGAAAATGGTGGATTAAACCTGGTTTTAAAGCTTGCTTAACCTCTCACTTGTATGACAGTCGAATCAAATTCCATTATATTGACAACAATGTGTGAACAAAACAAACACGATAGGTAAAAATGTCACAAATAGGAGTACAACAGCAACACGAACCCCACCAAAAACTGGGGTTGATCTCAGGTGCGCGGGAAGGGTAAGCAGATCCTGCTCTACATCTGGCACCCGTCGTGTTGCTCATGTTATTACAAAGCCGGTAAATTGTCTAATTCGGTAGGTCACATTCGTGAAAAGGGAACGGGATTGTAGTTACGACATAAGGAACATATCCGATATCATCTGTGAAACGGATATTCCATAACGGTCAACCAACTCGTGATGGCGTCCGTAAAATTTACGAAGTGATGATTTCAACTTTAACATTTGGAACTAAAAATGAAAAGGTCACAATTGGGAAGCTGATATCATCTCTTTTGTCGTAAAGTTTTGTTTTCAACCGACCCTCATTGTCAATTTCTAGATGCAAGTTAAGATATGAGGCAGACTTAACTGTAAAACGGAAAGTCCCTAATCCAATGGCAAAATCAAAAGCTCAAACACATCAAACGAATGGATAACAACTGTCATATTCCTGACTTGGTACAGACATTTTCTTATGTAGAAAATGGTGGATTGAACCTGGTTTTATATTATATTGACAACGATGCGTGAACAAAACAAACAAACACAAAAGGTAAGAATGTCAAAAATAGGGGTACAGCAGTCAACATTGTGTTATCAGCTTAATCACTATTAAAACAAACAAATGTAGCAAAGAGCACAAAAAGGCATACATCAAATTTAACATCCTCATTTTGCTTTTTTATTAGGTATATCAGTCAGATAATGTATATATTTAGTTTTTTCTGGTCGTATAACATACCGAGGGGTGTCAGGATTGATCAAATGAAAAACCGACTGTAGGGTGAACTATGACAGTACATGTGTTTATAAAGTTTGTCATTAATCATGTTAATCACGATTACATTTTGAAAAAACAAATCGTACGTGGTAAAAATTTGTTATTATTAAATCAAAGCAAATCAGTGTAAACAAAAAATATTAGCTTTTCATCAGAGGCTGTTTTATAAATTTTAGAATTTCAAAAACACTCTTTTGATGTTTACGATGAATTACGTGCTTTTGATTTTACTTATGATTTAATTGAAATTTTGACTTTTCGACACCCAACATTACAGTTCCACACATTAGAAATAAACAAAGTTATCTTATTCAATTAACTGGTCAGTCGAAAATATGATTGTAGGTGTGTTTTCTGCAAATTATTTTAATTTCTTCTTCTGTAATGAAATGAAAATTATGCTACATACACTCTCTAGAATTGTGACGAAAACGATGAAAGCGGTAAGTTCTGAACAGTATATACATAAATTACGGCAATTCAGTTAATCAACAGTTTGACAATTTGTTTTTATACTGAGTTTGCATAGATTTAAAATGAATTTTACTTTTTATAAATGTCATGCGTTTGGAAAGCTTTTCTGAATTTGAATGCATTTTTTTATAACAAAAACTGTCAAAAGCCAAGGATGTATAAACACTTGAATATGTGAAGATAGATATTGATCAGGTGATCGAAAGGCGGATTTCTTAAGTGCAGTTTGTTGTGATTTAGAACCGATTTAAAGCAAGGATCCGACAATAGTTTTAAAGAATGATGTACTGTATCGCATCAAAATGTAACAATTTACCTGTGATATCTACCATGCCATACAGTCAAACTAATAGATAACAGGTTCAACAATTAATTTAATAAATATGTAAATTCATATTGGAATTACAGCGAATGAACACCTCAGAACATAGACATTGTAAAAGATTACTAACCTTATCAAAAATCCAATTTAGAAGACATCTTGTTTCATGTGTTTTCCCATTCTTGCATCTCCAATACTTTTTTGTTCTGACTTCAGACATAGGTATTAAACATGTCTCACCCTTGCACATCTCACCAACTTCTATTTCTAAAAGATCTGACGTAGCTTGATGATCTTGTTTTCCAAAACAACGACGATAAAACTGTAGAATTCGACTTAATGCTAATGTCAGGCATTCTTGTGTGGTTGTCGCTAGATCTGGTGAGATGAGGTGCTTTGAATCTGAATTTATAAGGTATGCCACGATTCTTTGTCCTTTCACATGAATTTGAAGTTCATTTTTGCTATCAGCATCCATAATTGCAGCTTGAAAATAGAGACAAAAACGGCTTTTCACTATTTTCAAAGGCCATATGCTAATTGAAGCACCAATAACCCTAAAAGACAATGCAGAAGGAACCACTGTCTCTTTTAGATGATAAGCTATGCATATTGTTCTGTCATCTCTTGCATTCTGCAGCATTTTTTTTGGGATTTTTTCCTTTACGATGCACGGTACCAAAAATAAATCCGCAGCTTTGTCCATTTCAGTAAAGCGTTTTGGTTCGACAAGGATATCAAGGTGAAGGAGGACATGAACCATATATTCTTTTGTTCTCTCATCCGTCAAAATATCTTTGAAAGCTGGTTGTGACCAAAGAGTTAAAAGATCTTTTTTCTTTAGAACTCCAGTTGAAGATAAGTTATCCAGTATGTTTCGAATGGGTCCTTTTTTCGGCCAAAATATTATGTCTGTAATGAAAGCTCTTAATATATTGACCATTGCTGTTGGCTGAACGACAATGAACTCTCTTAAAGAAAGTTCATCAAAATACAATAATTTTCCTATAGAGTGTTGAACCAGTAAGAAATCCTCTACTCTTCTTCTACTTAGCGCTAATTCATTATTTGACTCGTTCATTTTCATAAGCCTTTCTTTAGTTATCAGTTTTACCCCATCTGCTCGAAGTTTTGTTATCTGTAAATCAAGAGGTACCCATATGATAGGCATTCTCTGTCCCCATGTTGACTGCTGGAAGGCGATATCAACTAATGTATCTTTTAATCGGTCTATATTCAAGTCATCTGCGTCTGTTGCATTGATGAAAAAGACTTTGTCATACATAATATGCTCCTGAAGTTTGTGTGAGGAAAACATTTCCGTCAGCTCCTCTTTGAACTTTAGGGATAGTTTTTCTTTCTCATCCTGTAAATTACATCATTTTCAATGTCGCAAATTAATTCACAAGATCTAGTATTAAATTGCATACATGTTTCTTAGTTCAATACGAGTATTTTCAAAATCTATAGATAAACATTATACTCCAATGCCGTATTTTTGTTATTTGAAATATTCACATAAAAACTGATCAAATTATATCATCCTATGACATTTTCCCTTTTGGACATTGTAAAAATATTCACTACACTACCAGGAGTATTTGAAGCAGCAATTTCATAAACAGTGCTGTAAAAATCCCAATTTCAACAGAATGGGACACACTATACTCATAATGCAAGCGAGACGCACTTGTTTATGATAAGTTATACTTGAATATTATTAAACCAAACCTTCGTATATGACTTTGCTTTTTTGCGATATCCGCAGAAGAAATACCCCCGATCATCAAATTAAATTCATGCTACAATAATAAATCCTGGCAATTCAATTCGTTAAAGTTTTGACCTTTTTACACTTATCGTAACCCTGTTGTAAAAAACAAAGAGCGTATATCACCAACACGACAAATTTATGAGATTCAAAAATGACCATTTTTGTGTCTGAAATTGTCTGAACTTTATCCTTCTATAAATACTGTCTGCATATGTCTCTACATTTTCAGGACATTCTAAAATCTTCAAATTCTGAACATTCTGAATTTGTCTTAATAAATTATTAACATGTTAAATTTTCTGATTGTGTCTTAACATATTTTAACAATGGGATTTTTCTTAAGTTATAAACATTCTAAATTTGTCTTAACAGATTTATATTCTGACCTTGTCTAGATAAGTTATTAACTGTGTTGTAAACTTATTTTGAATAATCCATTTGAAAAGTGTTTTTTTCTGTTTATGAATTGATACTGACACTTTTCAGTTTTAATGTCAAATAAATTATCAGTAAATACATACTATAAAAATAATGAGATGTGTTATGATTGACAATGAGAAAACTATCAACCAAAGTTCAAATGAAGTGGTTGTAAGAAATTACAGGCAACCGTACGGCCTTCAACAATGAGAAAAACCCATACCGTGTGGTCAGCTATAAAAAGGCCCCGACATGAAAATATGAAACAATTATATTGAGAAAACTAACGTATTTAAAAATATTTGCAATTTTCTTCAAAATACACAGAAGCGCTTCATTCTAAAAATGTGTGCACGATCAACACTTTTACAACCCTATCAAATTACTAAAAGAAGTATTCATTTTTTATCATTACATTTTAATGCTAAGACCATGAAAAACAAGTTTTATCACGTTTTTCTTTTATTAACGCGTGCAATTTTTGTGGAAGCACGTGTCATCACGAATGTAACATTCATTTTGATATGAAGTTTACTTTTTGAATGACGCGCCATTGTTGTTAGCCAATCAAACTAACGGATTCACGTGAAACATACATGTAATGTAATTATTAGGCTATAATCAAAGTTTAAATTAATAGTTATAAACAGAGTATTGATTATGATTACATTCGGTACAAATTTTACAGCATTTCGACAATACATGTATCTTCATTGATGTACAAGGTCGAAATGTTCGAAAATCAAAAGCTGATCAATGACTTAAAGTATAACCACATGAGGACAAGGAAGCAAAGCTTTGCATCAAGGAGATGTATTTTTTGATTTGAAGTAATTATTTAACAAAGTTCAAATTATTGGTTATACACAAATGTAATTAAAACAGTTTATTGCGTTGAAAAAGAGAAAAGAAAAGAAACCAGGTTTAAGGATCCGTTACATTAAGTACGTTTTAAAATGTATAATCATTGAACAATGAGGTTAGAAGTAAAGAATTATAAAAGGAAATTAAGATTTGTTTATTGTTCAAGATCTTAATCAGGAAATTTACATTTACAATTCTATTTTTGTTAGTAACGTGTTAATTGTTTATTCTTCGGTTTACCTCTTGTCCTTTTTAGTTTATAAGATCCTCCTTTTTGAAGAATGTTTGGATTTAAAAATATTCTTACCTCAAGCATCACTTAAGAGAAATTGATTGTCGAAATGCGCTTGTGGTGCTGTAAGATTGATATTGTTAATGTTTCTGATAATCGCAAATAAAGCAATATGAGAACATTTTTAATGATTTCTTAATTTCGATTATAAAAAAAAGATTTAAAAAGTTAGGGTTCGTGTATAGGCTTGGACATAATGAAATGAGCTCTTGAAGATCCATGGCAGAGAAAAACATTCACTTTAAACATTCGAAGAATACATACAAACATTTCTAAAAAAATGTATCTAGATTTTTTAGGCAGATTATAGACTGTTCATAAGGTGATAAGACAATATCAAACTGAGTTGAAATTGCTGACACAGTGTTATATTGTAAAAAATGTGTCAAGGCATATGTAGACAGTGTTTAGATTGTTCAGACACAAAGTTAACAAAAACTAAATAGTTCAAAGTAATAAAGTACGGTATATTAGTAAGATAATGAATATTATAAGGTTTTCCTTGACAAATAACACACTTAGGGGTGTCAGGATTGCCCAAAGAAAGACCTCCCAACGGTCAGATTTTCATTTGATCAATCCTGACACCCTCGGTGTGTTATACGACAAGAAAAACCTCAAAATATGCATAATCTATAACTTAATATGCGTGGATTGTTCCGTTTATTATTGTTGAAAGTAAGGGTGGCATATTGTTTTTCATACCAATACATACCTCTGTAAAGCTATCACTATGTGTGGCAGCAAACACAATTCTCGGCATTTTATCGTCACTTTTGTTCGAATAAGTCAATACAGAATTAATCCAATGTTCCAGAATCGCTGTAAAATTATTATAGTCTTTCAAGTTTGTAATTAACCGATGTTCAAATCTCCGATATTTTTTAGTAAGAGATATATCAAAGAAACAAACAATAACTGAGGGAATCACATGAACCCCAAAAGGAGTGAGACTAAATGCGTCAACAGTGTAAGCATCATGCGCATCTACAGATCTGAGAACTCACCAAAACACACGACTTTTAGTTTTGTTCGGCTGGTATATGGTCTGTTAAGGAGCACTTCGCTGTTATGAAAGTCCGTAAAATATGAACCGGCACATGCGCAACGTTTCAACTGAGTTGTGTTAACGCCCTACGATGGAATAGAGTGTGCTTTTCCCCTTTCTGATGAAAAATGGAAAGTTGAAAAAATGACGTTTGTCATAAATTCTCGTTTAAGTTGTCCATGTTTGTCAATATCGATGAAAAGATTCAGATATGAAGCAGATGTAGTATCATAAACCTCAAGTTCGCTGTGATATATGAGATGCTATCACTCATTATAGTTATTGAGAGATAGAACATCATCAATATATCTGAAAGTGAAATTCAAGTACTTTGCAAGATATTTTTTCTGTATAAATTTTGCTATATATCAGTATATAATAAAGTCGGCCTTTAGTCATGTTAGCAATATACAATAAGTATCTATTAAAAACCGACTTCCTAGAAAAACATCAATCCAACAACTAAACCAGTAAGTTTTCCATCAAAGAGACCATCATTTTAATGAGATCATATTTGATACATGTGTTGATTACAGCTGTATTGTTAACCATAAAATAAGTTGTTGCATGACCAAAAACAAGGAATTTGTATCAACGTTTCCAATTTTTGAAAAGGAACAGGCTTTGTAAAATAAAACAATATAGCCGATCTTTCAAATGAAAAAAAAAGTTTAAAGCGTAAGCAACATTAATGGTTATGACATTACTGCAAAATAATGAAGAATATGATTGAAGGTTTTGTAGTAGATCTATAATTTGTTTAACGAATCCGCATCTGATTCACACCGCTTATTGAATATACCTCATCACAATATTTCTGAATGCCATATTTTACAGTACAAAGAATGTTTAGTCGAACATCTTGACGAACATGCTGTATATTGTTCTCTTTATGCATTTTTGTGAAGTTTTGGTATCCAGTATAAAGATGTGGGGATAAGTTCCAATGTATTGAAGTCCCAAAGATTTATAAACAGAAAATAGCAAACCAACTATAGACACGGTTTGAACTGCAACTGGTGTATATGTTGGATGACCGTGACTCCTATTGTGGCAAACAGAGGGTTTTACATTTTAATTTGTTGATATCACTACACCTGGGACTAAATAAAATACCTATAAAATCAATTTTGTCGATGCATCCGTAAGAGACAGCTTCTGACAATTTTCGAAGCGAGAAATCCTCCTTTTGTAAGCAATATGGTGTTCTAAATACGAGATTATTTGTTGAATTATATATTTTCTCTATTTATGAAAACAATAGAAATGTTCAGGCTGTTGCAAGTGTTTATAGAGAAATTTATTGTTCTCAGGAAAAAATGTAAAGTGTAAAGCCTGGTATGTACTAATTTTATTGTGTCCTCAATACTTTGTTGAATTTGAAGCCCATAGAAGACCCAGTGTCAAGGTAAACAGTGTTTACCAGAAAGAACGTGTTCACAGTGGACTGACATGCGTTGGTTTACACGTGAATGACATGAACTTACGTTGCTTTATACTAATATGTTTGGTTTTAATTAAGGATATAATTCTTATTTAGTTTAAAATAAATAATAATGAAAGTTTTTCAATGTCTTTCGCAATTGCATTTAAACCATATTTAATATTTTAAGATTTGGCCACATGTTATTTAAACTTTGGAGTATATTTGTGGAGCTACGATACAATGAAGGTTTGTTTCTCCTGTATATGCACACCCGTACTGGGTTGATAATATTTGAACATCGATAGACTAGTTTTGCCTCTAATTAAAAACATAACTTTTCTAGTACAAGTTGGAAAATGTTTACGGCAAAGTTCCCCCGGTCGCATCATATGGAGTTTATTTAACAACTTGTACGATTTGAAAGACTATGTTCTTATGAAACTTACTTTAATGGACGTAACCATGCATTAACACACGAGAAACAGTTAAAGAGTAACAAAATGTTTAAGTGATTTTATTCGTCAATGCAACTAGTCATTAATAAAACTCATGCTTATATAAACATAAAGCCATTGGAAAGTCATATACAATGTATTAATACTTTAAAACTGTGTTAAGTGCAATACGCTAAAATATGAGAAAACAAATTTCAACTATTGTATATGCAACTATTTGAAAAATACTAAATAAACTCCAAAAAAAGAACAAGATAGGGGTGTCATCTGGTATAGCATATCCTTCGAAGCGTTTCTCTATTTTAATCCTACAGTAGTCACCGCTGATTACGACAGTTTCCATATTCGATGCGGTAATTGACTCTGATGCCTTAACAATTCCAGCAGCGCCAGCATATTGAGTATATATCCCAGTTGATTTGTTATTCAAAAGCTTGAATTTTAACCCTTTGGTATCATTTGTCGCTTTTTAACAGGAAAGATGGTGTCCTCGTCTAGCGCATGTTCACCAAATAGCTTCCTTTGAAAACATTGCATTATTATTGAAGGATGTCGTCAATCTAGGGTTTCAAATACTATAAGCAGGCTGCTTCTCCTGTCCTGGACTACCCAGTAATTGAAATAAGTATAGTGAGTGGAATTTCAATTTTCATTAATCAAATAAATTGTAGACGATGGTGTATGACTTAGTTATAAAAAACTGCTAAAAGAGGACAGACGATAATTCTCATGTCACGGTTGCCAATTATGCACTAAAAGTACTGGCGTATGTTGGTGTCATAAGTGATCATGTTTCAGCAAATAGAAAAAACTGACACGTGTGTTTTGGAAATAAAATCGGACACGTTCAGGCGATATGTGTTTCTGAAGACATGTTGGAGTGAAATAGACAAGTTTTTTTTAGGATGGACAAATTTGAGAGCGTCACGTATTTACCACCATTTTACATTTCTATAACTATATATGTATTGCTATATTTCGTTATGATAGATAAAAGTATTTTAAATTCAATGAAAAAAAATAACTTACATGCCGCTGTAATATCTCCTTGTGGATATTCGTCCAATTCTGTATTGAGGCCTTTTCGTCCATCAAACAAAAGAATGAACGTTCCCCTGTGCTGTATGAATAACTGGTGTGTCATATCAAACGATTTTTGTCCTCCAAAATCGACTAAATCTGATGGAGCTATGTCCATCATATAAGATTTCTTCTTAATTTTTTCCAAAACGTCATCTTGAATTGATTTTGCAGTATAAATTGGTCGTTTCTGAAAGTCTTGCATTTTCTTAAGATCAGGTTTGGGTAGCTCCTTTTGACGTCCAACAAGAGTCTGTCTAGATGATGGATTTGGTTTTATTTGCTGCTGTTTTTGATGCAATTGAACAATCTTCTGTGGATTTGTTATTTTCTGTTCAGTTTGGCTTTTTTTTTGCAATGAAGTTTTATCGACTTTTTTATCATCATCATGGTCAGTCAGATTCATCCGGGAAACATTAGAAAGTCCAGGTTGTTTCTTCAATTCAGGATTTCCAAGCAAAAGTTTCGTTAAAACATCACCACTACCTGATCACCAACAAATACATATTTTAGAACAATGCAGTTTGGCTCATTAACCATTCAGTTTTGGAAGTACAGGATGCATATTTAGAAGTGCTCAGAAAAAAACAATATAGAGTTAACACTAATACGGAGTGCACATACAAATAGCACAATGAACCTTTTGTTTGTTTGACATATGGTGTATACTATGATTATAAACATTGAAACGTTTCGAAGCTAACAATGGTAACATGCGTGTTTATAGTGTTTTATGTTTTCGTGAAATAGCAATCATTATTTATAAAGTGATTTATTCACTTAAATTCAACCAAAGAAAACATTCGAAACACTAATAATATGGTAAAGCTTTTTGATTTATTCAAAAGTTATCTATCCTTGAGTAAAGGCAATGTGCATTCTTTGAAAATGTTGTTTAATGCGACATCATGAAAGAAACAAGACCCCTTAATCTTGCTGTTGGCAGCACCTTTCTAAATGACAGACCCGAAAAGCTTTCTTCGTATAAAATGTTACGAAAACTAATATTTGAATTTTACCTACCCTTTTTCAGTGGAATCATTTTTCTTTGTTCTAAATTGATACCATTTCTACCAAAATGGATAATAAGTCCATCAGTTGAAATCCAGTTCTTTGGAATTGTTTCGCCAATTAAAATACTTGCTAGAGATGATTTTCCAGTTTTACATGGTCCAGCCAAATACACCCTGTTTTCATAGGAAGCAAATGTTCCCAGAGCAACTAGATCCGTAAAGTCATCTCTATTTAGCTGGCTTAATTTTGTCAAAATTGATTCCGACTGGTCCTGAAATATTAACAGAGATGGGAAGTCGAACTAATCGTAGTGAAAAATTGTTTTTATCACAGAGAGAAAAAAAAACAACACTGTGATCAAATAGAACAAACATACCATCATCATCAATTACAATACTACTCAATAAACTAAATATTAAACAACACAAACATCACTAAAAAAAAAACCGGCTATTGAACTGACAACACGTACTATCTATCTATTTTCAAATTATGCTTTGGACTTTCATCATCGATTTTACTATTACAAATAAATACCTTGTTGTGTTCCCATATTTCTTATAAGGCTCCAGGTTGAAATAAACATTGAAAATTAGGTTAAAATCAGTAACCTGTTATGTTCATTCCTTATCGTACATGGTTGTATTTCCAAACAAATGATCAAGGTGAAGCACATACACAAGAATATGCAAGGACCAATGAGACATTTTATTTTTCGTGACAAAGTCATCCAACCGCTGAAATCTTGATTACAGGATCAAGTGTTTTAGTAGGACGTCTTTACTACAAATATACTGTTTACATTTATTTATGACATTTAGGTTTAGGTTTGAAACCGCTAATGCATAGCTTCCTTTGTACAATTCTGCAATTAAAAGCATTCATAACTTTGTTATTTTAAATTACAAAACAATTACAAAGTAGATCTGATCTGAGCTTGTGCTTGAACATCAACATTCCGTTAATCACATATTAGAGCGTACTTGTTCCCGGGAGTTTGTAAGTACACAAACAGGTACTTCATATAACAACAACAGGGCAAATATTCCTTCTTATTCTCATTTCAAAAATATAGAATTTTTCGTTGGAAAATTTTAACAAGGGTTTTATAGTGATTCCATATCCTTATTCTTTCATTTGATAACAACATTACTCAAATATTTACTAATTGACATAAGTTACAACTATGTGTAGAAACTATTTTGCTCAAAATATGCACGACGTTTGGATAAATTCTTTCTGACCTTGCACGAGTTAGTGGTTCTATACCTTGATAGATATTTGTTTCTATAGTTACATTAACAGATATATCAATAATAATAATAAAAAAAAAAAATGCGGAGAGTACAACTTAACTTTTTAACGGACAGCATCCGATTCGTCCAAAAAATTATATACAAGCCAATACAAACAACAGCTAACAAAGTATGGTTTGATATTTTTATTTTCTTATTAATACAGCTGGAGTAAGGAAAGACAATAATATTCACGCATCCATCATTTTATCATTAATTCAAAAATACATTTTCACTTGGCAATGCATGTTTTTAAAATAATAGGTCGAAATGACGAAAAGTCAAATAACCATTCACAAAAAGCATTTGGCAACAGAAATCACGAAGTTTTTCCCAAAGAATGAATAGTTTCTGCTCCATTCATGGCTCACTTTATTCGCTGAGAAGTCGCATTCTAGGATGTCATAATCGAGGAGAAGAGGACAGAATTATAGTCGTCACTATAAAGTACTTATTGAAAAGTCATCATCTTTATAGAGCGACATGGAGGCGAAGGATAATAAAAGATACTAACAACTGTTTGATTTTCAAATACGTTTTAAATTGTTAAAATCCTGGATCTTTTATTTAGCACTTATTTTGAATAAATGAACAAAGTTTTAGATCGATGACATAAAAAGTTAGTATTTGTTGATAGCAAATTTAGAACAAGAGATATAAGTTCGAAGTAAATAAGTCCCAACTGAGAATATTACAACAAAAACATATTTTGTAAAACATGACCTGTGATATAAGTTTTTCTTCTTGTTAACCAATCCATGTGAACTCCATTTGTCCATGCAGAATATGGCTGGGTTAAATATGTTTAATAAATACAAAGCAAAAAAAAAAATGAAATAAAAAGACAAAAGACACATTTTACCATTCTGAGAGTACTCACAGATACTCATAGCTAATAAAAAACCAAAAAACAACAATATTTATAAAAATACTTATACAAGATAGAGTAACACGCAGTAATGATTCCATGAATTAAGTATAACAAACGCTTTTAATAGTCTGAGCAAATACAGGACCGTGTGCAATGCCACATTATCAGTATCGACGGAATGTTGTATAGTTAATGCTACTATCCTTTTATCAGTATATACTGTTTTAATTCCGTTATTGATATAAAAATAAATGAAAACGATATAATTGAATAAACTCATCACAGGATTAAACATTTTTACGTAAGATCGCGTTTCGTCTTCAAAAGACTCATCACTGACGCTCGAATCCAAATATTTTGGCGAAGTTGAAGCGAATTGCGGATCCAAAATTCTGAAAGGTTTTGTCCATTCCTAGGGTAGAAAATACTTATTATGGCGAAAAATTCAAGGTTTTATAAACAGTTAATTTATAAGTATGACTATATCAATGATAATTCAAAAGTGCTGACTACTAGGCTAGTGAAAGAGCTTACATGAATCTAAATTTACAGGCTTTATAAACACCGTAAACATAAGAATGTGATATCACTTTAAGATACTTTTTCAAAAGGTACATCCAAATTTTAAAACCAAAATGCGTGTATCTACTAGTATGAAGAAATTAGTAAAGGTTTTTCATGGTTTGTGGTAGCGAAATTCCTGACTTATTTCATACATTCGTTAACCAGTGAAACATGGATAACGTTCATTTTAATCTATAAGGTTACTACTGACACGGCATAGAAAAGACTGACTTAAGATATATACAAATAAACACCCGTGTAAAACTTAAATATCTTAATCGAGGACTTGGATAGTATTATTTGTACGTTAAGAGAGTGCGAAATCTGCGATTAACTACGCAACTGTAAGTTTGAATTCAACTAGAACACACCCTAATCTAAAATTTCAAGATTGTTTATTAATACTAACTAGATCATACCCGCGACATTGCGGGTCCGTGACTGAATTATAGTACCTACGCCTTATTTTTAGCCTGGCTTTTTAGTATTGGTATTGTCATCTGATTATAAGATGCACGGTTTTCTCTGCTTTCAAAATCTTTCTGTTTGAACATATCGATCTGGAACTTAATTGGTAATATTAATTAGTTTGAAAACAAAAGGGCCTGGAATGGTGTAATTTTTAATCAACACCATTGTCCTATATAAGTTATATATAAAGTTGAATTCTTTGATTCGCCGTTTTACGTCATGTCGGTTAACAAATTGTAAACTGTACCCAACGCCTTATTTTAAGTGTGGATCTTTAGTATTGTCATCTTATAAAGTCATGTTGATTAAAATACTACAACCGGAAACAATGTGACTATGATTGAACTTAGTAGTTTCACTCCTGTATAATGACGTAGTTTAGGTGAAATTATGACCCGTGTATACAGCAAATCCCAAATACACCGTTTGGTGGTGTGCCTTACAGATGCGGAACGTACGGAAAAGTTAATAGGTAACAGGTAACATATACTATTGGTATCGGTATCGGATTCGACCCGGAACTTGTTAATTATTGGTAATATTAATTATGTGGAAAACAAAAGGGTATGGAATGGTATACTTTTTAATCAACATCATTGTCCTACATTAGTTAGATATAAAGTTGAATTCTTTGATTCGTCGTCTTTAACCCATGCCGGCTAACAAATTGGGCCTCGTTATTTTAGTATTATAGATGCATCATTCTCTTACCCTATTTGCAGGACTATAATGCATCACTACATTGCCCTACTGGATAAGATCTGACAAAGATCTATTTAATAATTAAAAGATGTCAGATCTAAATCGTCCACATTCTAACCAGTTGTGAATAGATTAAAAATGAATTCTGAAAGATTTTTACATTTCAACCATAGATCCCACATAGAACATTTTGATTTGGATTGAATTACATGTAAGCAAATTTTATCTTTACTTTCGAGGTGTTACAACCACTGTTAATTAATTAATTGTATAACATGTTTGAACCGATGGACATTTGTTTGAGTTGTATTTTTAATGGGTATGTTTTAATCATTTTGTGTTCATAAATTTGGTCACAAACAGATTACCTATGGAAAAAAATCGTATTTTCAAAGGATTCTTATTCTTTTATGAAAGTTTTGTAAAACTACTAATCGTGACAAAAAATAAACGTCGGTTAAAACAAAAAGAAACTAGTTTACCCTTCAATATATTCAAGTTACCGTGTCAGTGGTTGTCTCGTTTTTAGTGTTGATGACAGATGTCTTATTTTGTTTTATAATTTATTCAAAACTTCTATAGACTCCTGACAATTTAGAGCATGACATATTTATTAAACACCTGTCTTTTGTTAAGACATGCATATTGCCCTATTGATGTGTTTGATTGGTGTTTTTATCGTTGGGTTGCTGTTAGATTCCCCCTAACTCATTTTATTCATATAATTAACCTTAAATTAAAAGTTCAGTCATATAAATCAGATACACTGTACTATGTTGAAAGTCTTTTTGTAATGGACAATCTTTAAGAAAGTACTTTCTTTTTTTATATGAAATAAAGTTTTTCATTTGAAAACTGATCTGAGACTAAAGGTAAGGGCATATAAAAAAAATTCTGATGAACTCACATATACATGTACCATCACGATCAACATTTCATGGTCATATTAAGCAAAACATTTTTTTTATTTCAATATTTTATATTTTATTTTAACAGTACATTTTCTTTTTTGGACTTAACATTTATTCAATAATTTGAATTTTAATCATTTTATCTTCTGAAAGCTTTTGTGGTTTACAAAATTATACACTTAACACTGTTTAAGTTAATTCAAGATTGCTTTTGATCTCTTCAATATACCACTGTGTGTCTGTTAGTATTTTTTTTTGAAGAATTCTCTCGTGCATATATTTGCTGTCTGTATCCAAGGATGTCTATATACATTTGCACTTTTTCTTGTATGATATTGATTCAATGATAAAATCCTGTTATGCATAATCAGCAATCAGACTGTAAGAATACTTCCTACAGTGGCTGTAATTAAAACAAATAGTAATCAATAAAATTGAGAATGGAAATGGGGAATGT